CTGCAGGTGAAACAGTAAGTCCTCCTGTTCTTGATCCAGGAGAAAAACTGATAGATTCATGAATCAATGAACCATAATCAGTCATCACCATTCATCACTAATGACATCTCTTGTCAACGCAGGTTCTTAAAGCAATTCTGTCTGAAGAGAGCAAAACTCAAGAAGTCATGGTGGGATTAGCACCACATATTTTCAAGATAATGAGTCCCTAAGAACAGAGATGGTTGTTTAAAGAAGTGAGAGTAAGCGAGGAACAACTAGCCGAGGAACTACTAAATATTCTCAAGAGATATGAACAACCAAATCCAAAGGTTCCAAGAATCAGAAGGTTTGCAATAGAGCTAACCATCGCGATGATGAAAGCTAATTCTAAACCAATCAAGACTTTCCAAAACCTTGGAATGAAACATGAAATAGAGAATGTCTTCAAGACCACATCTGAGCTTGAGAACTTTGACATATTCTCTGGCAAAGTAGCTTTAGCACACCATGGCTCAACCATCAGTGAACTCATTGAAGAAGCAATTGAGTTATTACAAAGAGAAATTACAACTGATGAGAGTGAACTTACCTCAAAGAATGTATATTTTCTGTTTTAGCTGTGTTTCCTACCAACACAAAACAACTGATGTGACAAGCAAGAGTTTTATTTTGTCTTTATTGTATTGAACTATTGATATTACATATTTGTATTACGTGATGTTTAATTATTAGGCATTGCATAACTCAATATTATACATATAGCTAAATACTGCAAAATCCAAAACCAATTACACATATTATAGAATGTATAACAACTCATTCAAGATACAATCTACCAACACACCAATACACTCCCATGTTAAAATCTACCAATACAATAATACAACACTGCATGTTTCCTTCAGTCTTTGAAGCCTCTCATGTATTTTAACATGAAACAAGGCACTATATAGATTTACAAACACTTGCAGAGTTACTTACTTATATATATATGTTATAAAATGGTGCACAGTTCTTACAAGGTCATCCCCATTCTTCTTTTCATAGATTCTTCAAGTGCAGTTGGTATCGTAGCTCGCAAGACCTAGTAGTTCTGGTCCTTCCAATCTCAGGTTGTTCTCAAAGCTGTACCAATGGGGGGAATTTTGCGTTAGAGAACAAACTTGTGTTAAGGGAAATTGTTGGTTATGTAAGAAAAATAAAGAACTTACTTTTGCATAGGAATGTGTTCAAAAGGTCCTTCTACAGGGATTGTTCCACACAAATCATTGCTTGATACATCACTGCCAAAGAAAGCATATTTATATCAAGTGGCACAATGATGAGCAAACAGAAGTGGTACAGAGCTGGAGTAACTGAACTTACACAACTTTGAGGCTTGAAACAGCGGTTAGCTCTCTAGGAATTGGACCGATCAATTGGTTTTCGTTAAGCCGCCTGTCATGTCGAGCAAATTTACTTAGAAATTCATACCACAAAGAGAGAAAGCAAAAGAAGAAAAGACTAAAGCAAGTAACACCTACTTACAAGGTATGCAACTACTAATAATAATACAAAACTTACAAAAAGACGAGTGACTTCAATTTCCCCAAAGAAGACGGAATCTTCCCGGTGAGATTGTTGCTGTACAGATCCAAACTGATCAGACTCTTCAGATTCCCAAGTTCAGAAGGTATACTTCCTTGAATCTTGTTTTTGTAGAGTTCACTGTATCAATTAGTAGAGAACAAAAAAGTTAAACTTACACAATATATCTAAATACATGACCAATCACATAATGTGAACTTTTTTGCATTAGTGCAAGTTAATTCTTCGGAAATAATCAAAAATGTTGAAAGAGAGTGGTGATTACATACAGATATTGTAAATGTTCAAGCTTCCCAAGTTCAGCTACAAGATGTCCAGATAAGTTTGAATTCCCCAAATCCCTGCCAACAACAAATAGAATCAAAGCTTCAATCTTCAGAACATCATTGAGCAAATCATAAGAAAGTATAAAACAGTTGAACAGAGGAACTGAAACTAAACAAGAAAGTGGATTCTTTTGTGGTAATAATGATTCTATAGTGCTCTCAAATCATTATGAATCTTAAGGAATCGAATTCAAGAAACCAAATTCAAAAGGCAAAACAGAGAGTAGTGTTCTCAAATCAAATCAAGATTACAGTTAAAGATTCTATTAAGATCCTTTAATGGTCAGATTCCACAAGAAATGAACTCAAGTATCATCGAATCATAAGGTGAGCTACAAAGATAGATAGAGAGAGAGAGGATCTTAATCTTACAATCGAGTGACTTGGCTGTGTTGATTACAAGTTACATGGAACCAAGTACAAGGATTAACAAGAGTTGGATCCCAGCTTTGAAGAACATGGTCTGGATCTGACAAGCTTTGGCGAAGCGAGTGAAGAGCGTCGCCTTCGGAGTTTGATTCCGATAGACGAAGTAAAGCTAAGGTTAGGATCAGGGAAGCTGCAAAGAAGAGCTCCCGTCGACTGTTTCTCGCCACCATTACTTCGTTGCCGGAGACAAAAACTAGGGTTTGGTCGTGATCTTGACTTATTCAAACCCTTTTTACAAGTTGTTTCTTCTCTGGTCTGAAGGAAGAATAAAGAGAACTAAAACTAGGCTTTGGTCTGAATTGTAGTACTTTCTTTTCTCTACTTATTTTAATTGAGTTTTTTTGTTCTGTCCTTTTTTTTAAATAATCATTCTGAATTCTGATTTCCTCAGTGCTCAAATTTTTCAAAAATTTGAAATTTACTTGTGGGGAAAAACATATAAATAAGTAAAATTTAAGTTTGTAGTATTTTAAGAGAGTGGCATGTATTTTGATACTTTAAATTCTTATTTTAATAGCAATAAGAAGATTTTTTAAAATATAGATAATATTGTATTGATTTAGATTTTCTGATTTTTCATATTTAATGGTCAAATACGTTACTTTCTCTGGGTCAAAACAGAAGACTTTAACCAAGTTGTATGAGTAATTTTTTATTAACAATTATATCGGTCAGTTTTGGCGAATATTATCTACGTAATATTTATAAACAATAAACAGATAATTATTTGAACAAAACTTTGAAAAGGCTTAAGAAAAGGGACAATCCTTCGTAATAAAAAGTTTGATAATTCAGCTAAAAAAAACTTATTTTTAAAGTATTCAATTTAGAATCCTTTTAAGAATTATTTCAATGGGTAACATGTCTCTTTTAGTATACGATGAAGAATACTTTTTCATATTTAAAAACATTTCTACAGCATTTTTATGTGTAAAATGACAAATTTTGTACAGATTTAAATTTAACATTTAATTTTTAGTAAATCAAAACTAAAATCTAATTTTAACGAAAAAATAACAAAAAAATAAAAGAATATCCGTTATAGTTATAGTCTTATAGATAACACAAAAATAATAAATTATAACTCCATATATATATATATATATAAATATATATATATATATATATATTAATAAAATAATATCTAAAAATATTATAAAGTCTATCGTCTAATTTAACATGTTATCAAGTATCAAGTAGGATATATAGGAGATTAAGTTTACTGCGTTTTTGCTTAAAATCAGTTGAACCTTCAAAAGTTTATATTTGTTATCCAAAACACTTTCAACAAGGTTTTGATATGTTTGTTTTGTTGTTTCTTATGATTGTTTCGTGGAGAAGTATCTCACAAAACTAATTATTCACAATTAATTCATAAAGTCTTTGAATTAATGGTTTAAGAGTGGCAATTGAAATGAATGAATATCCATTTTATGTGTTTTACAAAATCTGAACTAGGACAATAATATATAAGTTAAAAAAAATCATGAATTAACATTGGAAAAATATGGTCATTCATTATTATTTTCCAAAAATATATACTAAAATAAATAGTTGAAATTGTTAGTTGTATAAACAGTTTATAAAAATCAAATATTTAATTGGTTAATTATTTTTAGTTTTCAATAAGGTAGTTTACATTTTTTTTAAAAAACTTCAGATATCAAGTTTCTGATATAGGTTTGGAATTCACCAAGTCTTATTGGTCAATAGATGAATAGAGTTGACAAGTTTTGTTGGTGAAAGATGGATGAAGGTAGTGATGGAGAAGTAGTTTACGATTGATTCCAAAATTGCACACGAAATAGAAAGCTTGAATCCACAAGCAATTTGATCCGGAAATCAGTAGAAAAAAGTGATTTCACACTTAGATTCTAAAGACAAGAATAATTAAAATATTACAAGGAAATGATCTATTGCCTACGGCAACTATCATATGATAATGGTAGGAAACATGTGTTTTTTTCTGATTTCCAACCAAAATATTGGTGA